TTCCACAGCGTGCAAGCAGTAAGAACAGAGAAGAATTGGCGATTGAATCAATGTTGAGATTATTTTCTATTTGATAAGATCAACATTGCGATGCAGCCATTAACACAGCTGAGAGGTGAACTCCGCGACGGACAAGCGAACGAGTGGAAAAAGCGTAGCAAAAAATCTCTCGGCTGTTTTCGGTGAACAACACTTTTTAGGTCCACGAACAACATTGAGATTCTCCTACCTGTTCTTCATACATTTTCTGTAACTCTCCGTCAGAGGATTTCGTTTTCATCTAGACTTTTCCTCCGTGACGAGGGCTTTTATTGCTAAGACCGCTCCACCTACGTTTGTTACAAAGAGGCTGGAGGTTTCATTAAAAAGCATCACTTTGGCGGCAAATCTTTTTTTTTTGTTTCGCAACAACAGCGTCGGAATATCTCAAAGAACAACGGATACGTTTATTCCCCTAATGTATCGTTCTAACTGTTATGAAAACTTACTTGTGTAAATAGACTTAATTAACGGGTTCACATTACCTATTTATGAGCAGTTTGAAAAAGGAAACTGCTTGTACTAGAGATATCTTGTTTTGTCCTTTGTCGATATCTTATTACACTTTTGTATTCCTTTTAGAAACGTACCCTTAATCTTACGGTGGATAAAAGCATACGTAACATTTTCGCCGGAACATTCTGCTAACGGAACAAAGTCTTGTAAAGTTTAATACTTTCCACAGAAAAATTAAAGCGCACTTATTCAAACTAAGGAAAAAATCTCAAATTTTCGTTTAAAGAATATTGAAAAACATAAACAGTACCATATAAAAGAATTACTCAACAACGTTTATATAAATAGTGATTGGTCACGTACAAGGGTTTAATCAGAAGCATTTAACCCTGAACGGAGATATGCTTTGGTTTCATATACAGGCTTAAAAGTTAGAATCGCCTTGTACATGAAAGTACCGTTCAATAGCTTTCATTTGAATAGTCACGCACTAGGGTTTTATCCGCAGACTTAAATGAACCACTTTTTTTAACAAAGAGAGGGCTATGGAAGGGGATAATCTTCACCGGGATAAAAGGGGAATCGAAAAACGGCTTAATTTCCTAAACAGAGTATCGGCTTTTAACTTCCAATTCCTTTTACCTAGCTATAGCCACTTATCTCCATTTTTGTTTCTATTCCTGTGTACATAAAGGTCTAAATCAACCAGCAAAATAGCTTGTTCTTCTTTACGATCAAGGAAGCAAGCGTCAATTCAAACAGTATTTCAGCATTCTGCAATTTGTATCGCAGTATTTGACGGAGAGAGACAGACAGGTTATTTCTTTTTGTAGAAATCACAAGATTATTTCTAGGCATAAACCTCAAGATTTTAATTTTTAGTGTGCAACAAGAGAAAGATCTCCAGACAGCAAGTTTTGAGAGTGCCCTGAACAATCACCAAGTAGTAGTTATTCATTTCCGACATCTAATCTATATGGGTCCGCAATGCGTGCTAAATACAGAAAAGTGACGCCATATGAAAGAACATAGGAGAATAAAGTTAACACCTTATTAATAAAGTAAGCTTATGGATTGAAACAATCTTTCTTTTTGGTTTGTGGAATCTGGCTCTATCTAAAATTGTCAACTCAAGCATTTCAATAACCAATAAAAAATTCCCTCACATAATGTTGGATCCTCAAAAGTAGCCAGTTGCCGGCAAAAATCATTATCTACTTTGTGATCTTGGCCAGCTACTCAGTACGCTGCTGAGCTGTGCATATGAGTCTTTTGAAAAAGATTAGCCATCTACTCCAGTGATAAAGCTGCCTACTTCAAACTTTGTGAATTCTGTACCAGGGGTTTCATTAATGTTCTCAGCAAGAGGGTAACTGGTTCTTATTGGCAGGCAAAACTTTCTGAACTGAACTTCTTTGTAAGAATAACTTTCCCTACATTGTCAAACCAGTCGGGCAAAATCATCCGCGTAGCTGGTCAATTTAAGGAAACCCCTGGTGTATGTTGTAATAATAACTATTACTACCTGTCTCAATTAGCCGTTGCTACTTTGCAGGTAGTATAATAAATTAACAGAGGTTCCACATCAGTACCATGAAGGTGTTACTACAATGGGCGAATAAATATGAGCCTCACCAAATCATCAGAAGTTTTCCAATAATTTTTTGAGGGGTCAGGTAGGTGACTCTGGCAGACTTTTAATGTGACATTCCTCTCTTAGCAGGAACAATCTCCTCCTCCCTTGCAGCAGAGAGCTAATTGCCCTCAGGTACATCACCTGTCCAGCTGAACAGCTACTCAGTGCAATTTTTCACCTCCAGCACAACTCTGACATTACTGCTTACAACAGCTGTGACAGAATGGAGATGCATAACTGCAGTTTTATGATACAATTTACTAATGTTTCAGTGCTGTACACATTTCTTAAAAGGTTCTTAATCACCTTATAAAGCAGTGGTTGCAACCACTGTATTTAGTACAATAACTTTACAATAATCGAATGATGGAGATTCCTGCCTTATTATCATCAAAAAGAATTTCATACCTTGTATCCATTGACTGGTCATTCAGAGGTTTTAGGTAGCTTGTTTCTTTATGAGTGTGACTTAACTCTGTGACGACAAATTTTACATAAACACAATGACACACTCAGAAAAATGATTGGTCCATGCTGTTTTTCAAGACACTGATAACTCTTTGCTGCTTAACATTTACACTGTTATAGCCTGTGTCACAGCCCTGGCAGCCCTCCCCTTGGCCAGCCACCCTGCCCGAAAGAAAACATTGGAGAAAGCTTCTGTGTGTTGCTGTTGATAAGGGCAACAGACAGATGCTCTCTCCATTTTTTCTTTCAGGAGGGCAGCTGTAACACATGCTAACATTGATAGAGATATGCAGTTTTTTTCAATATGTCCGTCACCCAATAGAGTTCCCACAACTGTTTTGTTGTAAACTGCCACTTATAATGTGAACAGTTGTCGAAAATTGGCCCTTCAAATAGGAATTGTTATGAGCCTCTCTTATTGCTTTCTGATAGGTTCTGTACCAGGGCAGCCACTTTCTTCAAATTTCATTCAAAGTGTTGGATATGTCTAAAACTCAGCAACAACAGTAAATCCTACATCCTGGTGGGGCACTCCCATATATAAAGGAGGGGATACTCATCAAAAATTTTGAAAAGAACTTCTAAGAGGTACCAAGACCCTGTTTTGTGGGCATGGCTTGAAACTTTTTTCACCCCAAGAGGTACTAATTTTTAAACAACACAATATCTCCTGTCACATTTTTTGGGCTCAATACTGTAAAAGGCACCACAAAAGCTCCGGCTGTAGACCTTTTGAGGCTGAACACCCTAACAGGTACCAAAAATACTTTTTTAACCCCTAAAAGGTACGACGACCACCCCTGTCCTTTTTAAATGGGAACATCCCCCCTGGGTCCTACAGACATATGTGCACTGTCATATCAGTTGCACTGGTTGGTTACTGGGTAGCTTTCGAGTAGGTCTGATCCGCATTGGGTGAATTCCTTATTATTTTGCAAATATATCTGTCATTGTGAATCAATTTTTGGGTAACTCCACCCCTAAAATTGCTACACCCAGATTTTGCAGAAGAAGAAGAACAACAACAACAATAAATGACAATAACGAATATGGACTAAGTTGTGCGTTGTACACGGAAAATTAACCCGTACATCTTGTCTGCAATGCAGGTTGCTTTCTTACCGAGTTATAAAATTATGAGCAATAATGTATCTCCATGAATAAAGTTGATTGTTACCGCAGCGTCTTTGACACTTTTCCCTAGTGCACGTGCACAAGCATAACTACGATGCGTTTCCTCGGGATGATCTCCGATTCGGCATCACTCGCATCATGGTGCATCAAAGCAATCAGTGAATCCACTCTGGGCAAGAACCCATCGGTTCCTTTGATGCGCCATGATCTGACTTTTGATCTGAGTGATCTTGGATCATTGATCCCCGTACGGAAATCTCAGAAAATCTGCGGAAATATTATCAAAACACACACTACAACGTCTACAACAGCTCTTGCACCTTGCTCTCGATGAATTTGCCCACTGTTCGCGTTGGTAAACAGGATTCCTCCCATTGCTATGTTACATGACTTGTACATTGACCCCAGCTGGGTAACAACAAGGAAGAAAAAAAGGGGGTTGAAGTTTCACGCGCAAAATTCTCCAAACAGCGAGCCGAAGACAAAACGGGCAGCGATGTTCAACTCACGCGGGCTTCTGCACACGCTCGTCAAGACAACCAATCAAGTGAGGTTCTGGATTTATGGGCGGGAACACTGTCAATCTAATCTCTTGAGAGCGAAGTAATATGGAACGGGAGCGATTGGTACGGAATTTTCCTGGAAAAGTTTCCAGAAATTCCGAAAATTTTTCATTTTCAAACCATTCAACCGAAAATTGAAGAAATTATGGGTGTATAATTGAACGGGGCGGGAATTTCGGGGAAAAAGCGTTTAATTTACCGTAAAAAATTTGGGTTTTCCTCTTTTCCGTTAATTCTAGAAAATCCCGTTCCATTCGCCTCTGAAAGTGTCCGGAAATTTAGATCGGAATTTTGGTCTCATGGAAAGCGCTCAAAAATTGGTTGATTTTCCGAAATGTGTTTTCCACTTTTCACCAACATAATTTAACCAGACTGTATTTCAAGGGCGTCTGGGGTCCCTCAGTGTTAACAGACCCTAATCTCATAAGAGGTGCTAGTCGCAGTCCATGGGGGCGGGGGGCGGGGGAGGAACACACGCTTGTGTTATAAACAATCCCGTGACGGTAGGGAAAATTTATTTGGGTTAAAGGTGGAAAAGGTTCTAGTAATCTTATTACAGTCACCAAGTTCACCTGTATTTTTCGTTGTTTCTTTATTTTGGCGTTGTAAAAATCTGTCTTTAGTTCGTTACTGGCCTTTAGTTTCCAGGAATCGGTACTACTGATTTCACTCTTTCATAAACTAAGGGTGATTCCTACTTAATTTACGACATAAAAAGCTTTTCGAGCTCTTAGAATTGTACAAATTATCGTTTTGAGAAATTTCACGGGAATCTAGCTTGGTAAAACGTGAAAGAATAAATCTTAATTCTCTAAGTTTCTTTCTAAACTTCGTCCTCGCTGGCCAGGACTCAGTGTTATCCTCGTTAAAAACCTTGGGACACTTGATATTTGTCCTCTGATTGGTAGAGTACTTAAGCCATTATATCTCCCACCCCTCCCCTATGTCTACGATTTTATAACGAGTGAATGCCTGGAGGGTCCCACTGGAATGGATTAAAGCGCGTTCTCTTGCGTTTGTGGTTTAAAGATAAGTATACCCAAGGCTTTGGTGGGGCATTGCAGATATCTTTCTAGCGCACGAAAAAAAAAAAATGGTGATGTTGCGTTAAATTTTCCTGCCAGAAACAGCTGTCAAGGAAATCTTCTGTAAGGACCTCTCCAGAGGTGACCAAACCTCATAAGGTTTCCACTGAGAGTTTATGAATAGTGACAAAGAAGTGTTTCTAGTTTTATAGTTCGAAATATGCATTCCGTTTTAGTCTTCCTAAATTCATTGATGACAACTTTTGTTAAATATATCTATTATTTAGCTTTCTTTTTGTCTGTTAAACCAGCGCCGGCATTGAACTTAAAGAAGATGATGTCGCCGTCGTTTACNCGTTTATTCCCCTAATGTATCGTTCTAACTGTTATGAAAACTTACTTGTGTAAATAGACTTAATTAACGGGTTCACATTACCTATTTATGAGCAGTTTGAAAAAGGAAACTGCTTGTACTAGAGATATCTTGTTTTGTCCTTTGTCGATATCTTATTACACTTTTGTATTCCTTTTAGAAACGTACCCTTAATCTTACGGTGGATAAAAGCATACGTAACATTTTCGCCGGAACATTCTGCTAACGGAACAAAGTCTTGTAAAGTTTAATACTTTCCACAGAAAAATTAAAGCGCACTTATTCAAACTAAGGAAAAAATCTCAAATTTTCGTTTAAAGAATATTGAAAAACATAAACAGTACCATATAAAAGAATTACTCAACAACGTTTATATAAATAGTGATTGGTCACGTACAAGGGTTTAATCAGAAGCATTTAACCCTGAACGGAGATATGCTTTGGTTTCATATACAGGCTTAAAAGTTAGAATCGCCTTGTACATGAAAGTACCGTTCAATAGCTTTCATTTGAATAGTCACGCACTAGGGTTTTATCCGCAGACTTAAATGAACCACTTTTTTTAACAAAGAGAGGGCTATGGAAGGGGATAATCTTCACCGGGATAAAAGGGGAATCGAAAAACGGCTTAATTTCCTAAACAGAGTATCGGCTTTTAACTTCCAATTCCTTTTACCTAGCTATAGCCACTTATCTCCATTTTTGTTTCTATTCCTGTGTACATAAAGGTCTAAATCAACCAGCAAAATAGCTTGTTCTTCTTTACGATCAAGGAAGCAAGCGTCAATTCAAACAGTATTTCAGCATTCTGCAATTTGTATCGCAGTATTTGACGGAGAGAGACAGACAGGTTATTTCTTTTTGTAGAAATCACAAGATTATTTCTAGGCATAAACCTCAAGATTTTAATTTTTAGTGTGCGACAAGAGAAAGATCTCCAGACAGCAAGTTTTGAGAGTGCCCTGAACAATCACCAAGTAGTAGTTATTCATTTCCGACATCTAATCTATATGGGTCCGCAATGCGTGCTAAATACAGAAAAGTGACGCCATATGAAAGAACATAGGAGAATAAAGTTAACACCTTATTAATAAAGTAAGCTTATGGATTGAAACAATCTTTCTTTTTGGTTTGTGGAATCTGGCTCTATCTAAAATTGTCAACTCAAGCATTTCAATAACCAATAAAAAATTCCCTCACATAATGTTGGATCCTCAAAAGTAGCCAGTTGCCGGCAAAAATCATTATCTACTTTGTGATCTTGGCCAGCTACTCAGTACGCTGCTGAGCTGTGCATATGAGTCTTTTGAAAAAGATTAGCCATCTACTCCAGTGATAAAGCTGCCTACTTCAAACTTTGTGAATTCTGTACCAGGGGTTTCATTAATGTTCTCAGCAAGAGGGTAACTGGTTCTTATTGGCAGGCAAAACTTTCTGAACTGAACTTCTTTGTAAGAATAACTTTCCCTACATTGTCAAACCAGTCGGGCAAAATCATCCGCGTAGCTGGTCAATTTAAGGAAACCCCTGGTGTATGTTGTAATAATAACTATTACTACCTGTCTCAATTAGCCGTTGCTACTTTGCAGGTAGTATAATAAATTAACAGAGGTTCCACATCAGTACCATGAAGGTGTTACTACAATGGGCGAATAAATATGAGCCTCACCAAATCATCAGAAGTTTTCCAATAATTTTTTGAGGGGTCAGGTAGGTGACTCTGGCAGACTTTTAATGTGACATTCCTCTCTTAGCAGGAACAATCTCCTCCTCCCTTGCAGCAGAGAGCTAATTGCCCTCAGGTACATCACCTGTCCAGCTGAACAGCTACTCAGTGCAATTTTTCACCTCCAGCACAACTCTGACATTACTGCTTACAACAGCTGTGACAGAATGGAGATGCATAACTGCAGTTTTATGATACAATTTACTAATGTTTCAGTGCTGTACACATTTCTTAAAAGGTTCTTAATCACCTTATAAAGCAGTGGTTGCAACCACTGTATTTAGTACAATAACTTTACAATAATCGAATGATGGAGATTCCTGCCTTATTATCATCAAAAAGAATTTCATACCTTGTATCCATTGACTGGTCATTCAGAGGTTTTAGGTAGCTTGTTTCTTTATGAGTGTGACTTAACTCTGTGACGACAAATTTTACATAAACACAATGACACACTCAGAAAAATGATTGGTCCATGCTGTTTTTCAAGACACTGATAACTCTTTGCTGCTTAACATTTACACTGTTATAGCCTGTGTCACAGCCCTGGCAGCCCTCCCCTTGGCCAGCCACCCTGCCCGAAAGAAAACATTGGAGAAAGCTTCTGTGTGTTGCTGTTGATAAGGGCAACAGACAGATGCTCTCTCCATTTTTTCTTTCAGGAGGGCAGCTGTAACACATGCTAACATTGATAGAGATATGCAGTTTTTTTCAATATGTCCGTCACCCAATAGAGTTCCCACAACTGTTTTGTTGTAAACTGCCACTTATAATGTGAACAGTTGTCGAAAATTGGCCCTTCAAATAGGAATTGTTATGAGCCTCTCTTATTGCTTTCTGATAGGTTCTGTACCAGGGCAGCCACTTTCTTCAAATTTCATTCAAAGTGTTGGATATGTCTAAAACTCAGCAACAACAGTAAATCCTACATCCTGGTGGGGCACTCCCATATATAAAGGAGGGGATACTCATCAAAAATTTTGAAAAGAACTTCTAAGAGGTACCAAGACCCTGTTTTGTGGGCATGGCTTGAAACTTTTTTCACCCCAAGAGGTACTAATTTTTAAACAACACAATATCTCCTGTCACATTTTTTGGGCTCAATACTGTAAAAGGCACCACAAAAGCTCCGGCTGTAGACCTTTTGAGGCTGAACACCCTAACAGGTACCAAAAATACTTTTTTAACCCCTAAAAGGTACGACGACCACCCCTGTCCTTTTTAAATGGGAACATCCCCCCTGGGTCCTACAGACATATGTGCACTGTCATATCAGTTGCACTGGTTGGTTACTGGGTAGCTTTCGAGTAGGTCTGATCCGCATTGGGTGAATTCCTTATTATTTTGCAAATATATCTGTCATTGTGAATCAATTTTTGGGTAACTCCACCCCTAAAATTGCTACACCCAGATTTTGCAGAAGAAGAAGAACAACAACAACAATAAATGACAATAACGAATATGGACTAAGTTGTGCGTTGTACACGGAAAATTAACCCGTACATCTTGTCTGCAATGCAGGTTGCTTTCTTACCGAGTTATAAAATTATGAGCAATAATGTATCTCCATGAATAAAGTTGATTGTTACCGCAGCGTCTTTGACACTTTTCCCTAGTGCACGTGCACAAGCATAACTACGATGCGTTTCCTCGGGATGATCTCCGATTCGGCATCACTCGCATCATGGTGCATCAAAGCAATCAGTGAATCCACTCTGGGCAAGAACCCATCGGTTCCTTTGATGCGCCATGATCTGACTTTTGATCTGAGTGATCTTGGATCATTGATCCCCGTATGGAAATCTCAGAAAATCTGCGGAAATATTATCAAAACACACACTACAACGTCTACAACAGCTCTTGCACCTTGCTCTCGATGAATTTGCCCACTGTTCGCGTTGGTAAACAGGATTCCTCCCATTGCTATGTTACATGACTTGTACATTGACCCCAGCTGGGTAACAACAAGGAAGAAAAAAAGGGGGTTGAAGTTTCACGCGCAAAATTCTCCAAACAGCGAGCCGAAGACAAAACGGGCAGCGATGTTCAACTCACGCGGGCTTCTGCACACGCTCGTCAAGACAACCAATCAAGTGAGGTTCTGGATTTATGGGCGGGAACACTGTCAATCTAATCTCTTGAGAGCGAAGTAATATGGAACGGGAGCGATTGGTACGGAATTTTCCTGGAAAAGTTTCCAGAAATTCCGAAAATTTTTCATTTTCAAACCATTCAACCGAAAATTGAAGAAATTATGGGTGTATAATTGAACGGGGCGGGAATTTCGGGGAAAAAGCGTTTAATTTACCGTAAAAAATTTGGGTTTTCCTCTTTTCCGTTAATTCTAGAAAATCCCGTTCCATTCGCCTCTGAAAGTGTCCGGAAATTTAGATCGGAATTTTGGTCTCATGGAAAGCGCTCAAAAATTGGTTGATTTTCCGAAATGTGTTTTCCACTTTTCACCAACATAATTTAACCAGACTGTATTTCAAGGGCGTCTGGGGTCCCTCAATGTTAACAGACCCTAATCTCATAAGAGGTGCTAGTCGCAGTCCACGGGGGAGCGGGGAGAGGAGGAGGAACACACGGTTGTATTATAAACAATCCCGTCACGGTGGGGAAATTTATTTGGGTTAAAGGTGGAAAAGGTTCTAGTAATCTTAGTACAGTCACCAAGTTCACCTTTCTGTATTTTTCGTTGTTTCTTTATTTTGGCGTCGTAAAAATCTGTCTTTAGTTCGTTACTGACTGGTCTTTAGTTTCCAGGAAGAAGTTCTAGGAAGAAGGAAGAAGTTCTACTGATTTCACTCTTTCATCAAACTAAGAGTGATTCCTACTTAATTTAAGGCATAAAAAGCTTTTTGAGCTCCTAGAATTGTACAAATTATCGTTTCGAGAAATTTCACGGGACTCTCGCGCGGTAAAACGTGAAAGAATAAATCTTAATTTTCTAAGTTTCTTTACAAACTTCGCCCTCGCTGGCCAAGACTCCGTGTTATCCTCGTTAAAAATCTTAAGACACTTGTTATTTGTCCTCTGATCGATAGAGTACGTAAGCCATTATATCTCCCACCCCTCCCTTACGTCTACGATTTTATAACGAGTGAATGCCTGGAGGGTCCCACTGGAATGGATTAAAGCGCGTTCTCTTGCGTTTGTGGTTTAAAGATAAGNAAAGTTTCCAGAAATTCCGAAAATTTTTCATTTTCAAACCATTCAACCGAAAATTGAAGAAATTATGGGTGTATAATTGAACGGGGCGGGAATTTCGGGGAAAAAGCGTTTAATTTACCGTAAAAAATTTGGGTTTTCCTCTTTTCCGTTAATTCTAGAAAATCCCGTTCCATTCGCCTCTGAAAGTGTCCGGAAATTTAGATCGGAATTTTGGTCTCATGGAAAGCGCTCAAAAATTGGTTGATTTTCCGAAATGTGTTTTCCACTTTTCACCAACATAATTTAACCAGACTGTATTTCAAGGGCGTCTGGGGTCCCTCAGTGTTAACAGACCCTAATCTCATAAGAGGTGCTAGTCGCAGTCCATGGGGGCGGGGGGCGGGGGAGGAACACACGCTTGTGTTATAAACAATCCCGTGACGGTAGGGAAAATTTATTTGGGTTAAAGGTGGAAAAGGTTCTAGTAATCTTATTACAGTCACCAAGTTCACCTGTATTTTTCGTTGTTTCTTTATTTTGGCGTTGTAAAAATCTGTCTTTAGTTCGTTACTGGCCTTTAGTTTCCAGGAATCGGTACTACTGATTTCACTCTTTCATAAACTAAGGGTGATTCCTACTTAATTTACGACATAAAAAGCTTTTCGAGCTCTTAGAATTGTACAAATTATCGTTTTGAGAAATTTCACGGGAATCTAGCTTGGTAAAACGTGAAAGAATAAATCTTAATTCTCTAAGTTTCTTTCTAAACTTCGTCCTCGCTGGCCAGGACTCAGTGTTATCCTCGTTAAAAACCTTGGGACACTTGATATTTGTCCTCTGATTGGTAGAGTACTTAAGCCATTATATCTCCCACCCCTCCCCTATGTCTACGATTTTATAACGAGTGAATGCCTGGAGGGTCCCACTGGAATGGATTAAAGCGCGTTCTCTTGCGTTTGTGGTTTAAAGATAAGTATACCCAAGGCTTTGGTGGGGCATTGCAGATATCTTTCTAGCGCACGAAAAAAAAAAAATGGTGATGTTGCGTTAAATTTTCCTGCCAGAAACAGCTGTCAAGGAAATCTTCTGTAAGGACCTCTCCAGAGGTGACCAAACCTCATAAGGTTTCCACTGAGAGTTTATGAATAGTGACAAAGAAGTGTTTCTAGTTTTATAGTTCGAAATATGCATTCCGTTTTAGTCTTCCTAAATTCATTGATGACAACTTTTGTTAAATATATCTATTATTTAGCTTTCTTTTTGTCTGTTAAACCAGCGCCGGCATTGAACTTAAAGAAGATGATGTCGCCGTCGTTTACGACGTAGTTTTTGCCTTCTTGTTTGTATTTTCCTGCAGCCTGTGAGAGAAAGAAGAGACGGAACAAAAACATTAACGGATCTCAGTCACAGCATTTTGAGTTATTTTGGCCACGTACAACTGAAAATAGTAGTTTACTAAGGTAGAAAAACACCAAAGAGATAATAATAAACTATAAAGGAACAAGGATGGTTAAGGATGGAGAGGATTAACACGGATTACAAGCGACGAACACAAGAGTAACGATAGAAAACAGCCCCAGAGCCGGAGATGACACCTAAATAAAGTCTTTCATGCATTCATTCATTCATTCATTCATTCAGATGCTCGAGAGGAATGAGGTACTGATAGCCTTTCCTTCTTGGAGAAGAAAGGGGGGAGATCGAAGCGCATGTCACCCCCTTCTCTTCTTGGTCTAATAAAGGGAGACGGGGGTCTCCCGTAGCACCCTACAGGCTAACCAGACTCGGCGATTAAAAGAGTGTTCAGCATGGGTAGAGCTTCCATGCAGAAAGAAATACAGTTTTAAAAAGAAATCTTTACCTTGACTGCGGCCTCTGAACCAAGCTCCTTGAAATCGTCAAATTTCATGACTTCCGCCATTATAAACCCTTTCTCAAAGTCAGTGTGAATTTTACCGGCCGCTTGAGGCGCTTTAGTTCCTTTCTGTGGAAGACAATCAGATAAAACTTAAAACATCAAATAAAAATTCTTGATTTTAGGCTTAAACAGATTCTCGAGCGCAAATCCTATGCCAGCAAAAACATTTTAAAAAACGGCATCATACGCCAACGAGAGTGGACTGGAGAGAGTTCAAACCCCTAACTAATCAACAACTCTTATCCACTCCCATTGAATTTAAACCCTTCTCAAAGTTTTATGAGCCGATGTGAGAATTCTCTCGTTTGACGGCTTGAAGACCTCCAACTCACGCACACTTTCAGCTACAACCGTGCATAGTAGTAAACTACTTGCAAAAAATAACGGACGCTAAAATTCAGACGATTTACTGTGGACGTTTAATTTAAGGACACTTTTTATCTCATTTCGTACAAATTTCGGATACTTTCGGAAAATTAGACTGGAAATGGAATTTATCTGCATTAAGTTTTCAACAAAGAAATAAACATTTTCCTTCCAGTGATAACAAGAACGGGCAAATCTTAATCCGAGTTCTTGCTCTATCATGTGTACTGGCCTTAAACACATGTGATGGTGTCGCCCAAGAAGAAAGTGCGTACTTTAAAGTTTTATTTTGGACGGCTTTATTTTCGGACTCTTTTTTTGTCCGAAATTACAATCGTCCCAAATTTTTTGCAAGTAATATAGGTGGACGCTTGCTAAAAAAAAAGACACGATTGGTAATGAAAAGTCTAAACTCCAACCTTTAAACTGATGTAACTCGTTACCATGTGCCCTGCTTTGGCAAGGCACCATTCCCCTCTGAAAAAGTTTGATAGGTAGATTATAATATCCAGCATCTTTATAAGCAAAGTGGAGAGCTCATTCTCACCAAAATCGTCCACGCCTTGACTTCGTCTTTTCCAGCCGTGAAGAAATACTGAAGTTGAAGAGCCTTGAACCCAGTGGTAATGATTTTAGAGAGAGCACTGGAAATAAATAACAACACCAATCAACGCCGGAAATAAACAGATTTCTCAGTAAAAGACGTTTTCAGTTGGCGGTTCAAAAAAAACACAGGTTTCGTGTTTTCCCGCGCTTGGTAAAGGTTGCGTGTTTTCCCGCGCTTGGAAAAGGTTGCGTCTTTTCCCGCGCTTGGCAAAGGTTGCATGTTTTCCCGCGCTTGGAAAAGGTTGCATGTTTTCGCGCGCTTGGCAAAGGTTGCGTGTTTTCCCGCGCTTGGAAAAGGTTGCGTGTTTTCCCGCGCTTGGCAAAGGTTGCCTGTTTTCCCGCGCTTGGAAAAGGTTGCGTCTTTCCCCGCGCTTGGCAAAGGTTGCATGTTTTCCCGCGCTTGGAAAAGGTTGCATGTTTTCCCGCGCTTGGCAGAGGTTGCGTGTTTTCCCGCGCTTGGAAAAGGTTGTGTGTTTTCCCGCGCTTGGCAGAGGTTGCATGTTTTCCCGCGCTTGGCAAAGGTTGCGTGTTTTCCCGCGCTTGGCAAAGGTTGGACGCTTTTCTGATTCGACTTCTGATTGGTCCTTACAGTTATTTGCATTTACTCTGATTGGTCAGATATAGCACCTCCTGAACCACGTGGTTTGTGTCAGCGATAAAAGTAATTCACTTGAGAGCCTAGACAATCCAGACATGTTTCCAAACTCCTTCACAAAATAAAATCAATATACCGCAACCGTTCCTTCCTACCTTTGCGTGCCGACTTCTTTGAGGTACTTTTCTCCTTCTTCAGGACCCAAATCTACAAGCTTTGAAAGCGATAATAATATTTAAAGTCAATTAGCTGTATCATTTTCATGCAATAGAGAACTTGACGCTATAGAAACCAACGTACTGAAGTTCCTTTTCTGAAACTGGAAAGATTGGGAAAATTACTCACTGCTATTAATAGTTACCTTAGATTCCAAGGCACCACTAAGAGGAATTATTACAGCCCCGTTGTCATTGGCATCTACCCACTCTTTTATCTTTGCCAGCCTGCATAATAAAGTAGTAAAATAACATACACTAAAATGCATTTTTCCAAGGATTTGTTCTGCTCAGGAACGCACAAAAATTTAGGGGTTGCGGGACAGAAAATGCAAATACGCCTCATCGAAGAAAGACTTAATTGAGCCCCGTCCACACTAAGCAATCTGTCAAGTGGTCGCTTACGGGAGGTTAAAAACGCAAGAAAATTTCAAACTTTTAGTTCTAAAAGTGATCGCGGTCGCTTACGACACGTGGGCGCTTACAAGAGGTTCCAAATATAGTGATTTGACTATAAAAATTTTGGTAGTTTTGGAAAACTGGTCGCTGAAGAGATGTGGTCGCAACCGGAGGATCGACTGTATTTTCAGGACAAGGGCGATTAACCTTTCACTATGGCTAAGTTCCACCAGGGTTTACGACGCTCACAGAGTCATGAGACAAGCCTAGATTGGTCACACTAGTTGAGTACCAAATAGCAATTATTGTTCCTCAACCTATTGAAAGCAAGAAAGATAAACAAAAACTGACCACTTGTTCTTTTTCCTGATGTAGTCCTTTTCAGATAAGTTCACTAAATATATCACAGGTTTTGAGGTGAGCAGTAAATGCTTGTTTAGAACTTCAATCTGAAATCAAGAAAGTAACTGTCGACATGTAAACATACCTAAACGATGAACAATACACTGCTATTCCACTATTGGATGCTTAAAAAAATAATTGTAATGCAATAGCATTGTACAAAGCTGTACAGTGCAGGTTATAAGACATGAAGGTACCTATATAACTTTTTTTAAAAAAGGGTGTGAAAAGAATTTTACCCTAAGCCTCTTAAAAGAGGTTTGGAATCAAATTCTTTTCGCAACCTTCTTGAATTCATGATTACCAATGTCCTGTCTATCTGATTGAGAACTATCTATTAATTAACAACAATCAGACTAAGAGTCTAAGTTTAGTCAACAAGGTGTAGCCAGGCTGATTATCACTCATCAAAAAACGAACGTGAGTAGTCTAATTGTGTGGTTCCAGAGAATATCCATACTTGCTTCACAGAACGGATTGGAATTTCCTGGGGGTGGGGGGTTAGTTAGATAGGGTTCTCTACGACCAAATCATTTAACGAATGCATCAAGCTTAATTGGAATTTCCAGAGGTGTAGCGGAGGGTGGGGGTGGGGGGATTAGAACATGTAAACATACATTCACGATGAACAATACACTACTATTCCACTAGTGGACTTTTAAAAACATAATTGTGATGCAATAGCATTACATAAAGCTGCTCAATGCAGGTTATAAGACATGAGGGTACCTATATAACTTTTTTTAAAAAGGGTGTGAAAAGAATTTTACCCCAAACCGCTTAAAAGAGGTTTGGAATCAAATTCTTTTCACAACCTTTTTCATGATTACCAACGTCCTGTCTATCTGATTGAGAACTATCTATTAATTAACAACAATCAGACTACGCATCTGAGTTTAGTCAACAAGGCGTAGCCAGGCTGATTATCACTCATCAAAAAACGAGTGCGAGTAGTCTAATTGTGTGGTTCCAGAGAATATCCATACTTGCCTCACAGAAGGGATTGGAATTTCCTGGGGGAGGGGGTTCTCTACGACCAAATCATTTAAAGAATGTATCAAACTTAATTGGAATTTCCAGAGGTGTAGCATGGGGGGAGGGGGGTTAGAACAAATCTCTTCTGTGAGGGAGGTATGTACATCCTCTGGAACTACACCCTGTTTAAGTAGAGTCTCTTAAGGATTGCAGTGGAAAACCTACAATTTTGTAGTTTTTAAGCCTAAAATTGACTTTAATTCTCAGTTTTAAAAGCAGTACATAACAGTGCTTGAAATTAGCGGTCATCCAAGACGACTTAAAAATGGTCTGGACAGCCACTTTTCTGTAAAATTATAGGCCTGGTTGTCCGAGGAAAATAACACCAGACAACCCAGGAAAAATTGAAGTGCTCACCATTTCTGTGAAGTCCAACCGGATAGCAAAATAAGATATACAAAAGATTTAAATCTGGTGTTTTCGTTCCTTGATAGATGCAGTAAACCACCATGTTTACAAACCCAGGCCTCCCCAAAATATCATGGCACACAGATAATCATTCTTTTCCAAGGCATTGTAGGAAAGTACTTTGCAAGTTGTCAAATATACATTTACAGGTAAGAAATGATCTTGATTAATTGGGGCTGTCTAGGAGTAGCGAGAAGAGTAGCTAGGGTTGTGAGTTATTATTTAGAGTACTCAAATAGCATATCTTTCCAAAAACAGTGGACTTTGTTTTGTTTGCCATTCCTGCTGGATGTTTGACAGCCAGTCTTTGGTGTAACCTTTAGGCTTTTCATTGAAACCAAAGGCTTTTTGCTGTTGTTACTGTACTTCTCTTACATGTACATGAATAAGCAATTACATTAAAACATAATAAAGTGAGTAGTTACACTAAGGGTATGTGCAACATTCAGGCATGGTGATTTGTGAATTTATCATTTCAGTTAATGCATGACAGTTCAGAGACCTGTGAAAATAGTCACTAAACAGTTTTTGTCTCATCAAAACCTATAACTAAGAAACAAATTATACAATATTTTAAGGGCAACCAAGCAGTCATCAGGGCGACCAGCGCCAGGGGTTAGGTTGTCCTGCATTTGGAATAAGAACAACTTGAATATTTTTTTAATCTCCAGCACTGACATACCAAATATAAAATGATGAGAACACCAATCAGATTTGCAGATTTCTAATAGAACATAGTTGAGTGCCAACTAATAAAAATTAGCCTGTTGTCATGTCAACAGTTGCAAGACTATGTGGCACATCCGTGAAATAAATGAATTTAAGGTCATTCCTCACATTTGCATTGCGCATCCTTACTGCGCATAATTTTTGGCGTCATTAGCACGCGCTCGTGCACGCGCACATTGAAAACATGACGGATTTGCCTTGATATTGAGTTCTGTCACTTGAAAAATGGCTCTAGCTCAACAATGAGCACGGGCACCCCAATTTTTTTTCCAGTCATTGTAATCAACTAATCATAAGCTTTGTGTGAGAAAAGACTGATCTAATTTCTATTGTTGAAAATTGAATAAATAAGAAAAATAGCAGATACACTG